AGTATTCAGCAACTTTGCTACCTACTACTAACAAGTGAGTAGTATCTCACAACAACCCTATTCGAGGTTAAAAAATATTGGAATTTCAAGGTAAAGATTCCAAGTTGTGCTCTACAGCTTTAAACATTATACTTCAAAGGTAACGAAAAATAATATTGCGAGGTATCCTGTAATGTTTCCGTAACTGAATGGTAAACTCCGCAGTCGTGACAGTTAATCAATTACTTTTCATAGAGCTGCATTGTTTATCCTTGTATAACTGCTTAGCGTATCTACATTTTGTACTTTTCTGTTAGCCGGGACGATGGAGTCTTGCGGACTATGCCCGTCGATAAGGTAATAGATCACAATGTCGTTGGTACATCAGTGTTGTGTTACTAAATGTTGTGTGGTATCTCATGTGAAATTAATGGAATAAATTCACACGACGCCCAATTCTCTAAGTGTAATTTCAGGTCCATTCTTGGCTGGAATTTAACCGAATGCCGTAACAAATTAATCTGAGGGTAAACAGTTGGGCTGCTCATCAGGTTGTATCTGACCAGTGTGTGTTTATTTCAGTTTGTTATTTTGATCGGTAAATGTTAACTTGGATGAGGTAAAATTTGTAAACCTGATAATATGTAAGCTCATCTACAGCTGTTGTAGGAGGCGATATTATAGTCCGTTGGATGAAAGTCGCACTAGATTAACGTCTTTTCGGGATCTTGTAATACCCAACGATACTCAGTTTACGTTTAATTCTTGGTATTGGATGTGTCTATCGTTTGATTTGGGGGAATGCAATATGTAGATCGTAAACACACAGGAAGTGAAGTTGGATGTATCTGATTACATCGTTCCCTATTCTGTCTGCCGTTAAAGGTGTACCAGGTAAATTGAATTTGATTCGTTAATTGCATTCTATGGTTTGATGCTAAGTTTGTCTTATAATGGGGTTCTGATTTATGATTGCAAATGGTAGATTGCAGTCAGATCCTCAGCACCATGGTTCTTGTGCATCTTTCATTCAAACTTTCCACTATATTTCTAGGAATTTCTTAAGCAGACACAGCTTCATCAATTTGACCTTTGCTTTTCTATAGGTAGTAACGGAAATCCGAAGTAGTATGCATGGATTATGTGATACTGGTGCTTCTTGATGCAAGTGAATGGTTCATACACACACTAGCTCGGAAAAAAGACCATTAGAGTGAGTAACACAGCTTTGGTTTATGACAATAGTTAATGCTCCGAATTCGTATGGGACTTTTAGAGTAGAACAACAACGTGGCAAACAAGCTCGTTTTCAGTTGTTCGTAATCACGCTATTACATAACTCTAAATATGACTAATAATAAAAATGAACAAGGACAGAGAGATTCAAGTCTTAATGGTTTAGCTTCGGCTTCAATTATGCGTGCATGTGTGCCTGTGTGAAATTGATCACAGTGTCAACAGTTCACTTGATTGCACACATGTTGGAGTGGGTGAAATGGGCCAGGGGAGATTAAGTGCTTGCACAAATTTCTTCTGTGAATACGAATACTTACAGCTTCGGCCGTGGCTAAGATTCGATGCTTCACTGCTCTCGATTGCCTACACCGAACCTTGTAAATCGGTCGAAACGCGCTTGCCACATCCACCGAGTGATTAGACTCAACGAGATGCGAACATACCGCGCTTGTAATTGTCTTAATCGTTCCAGTCCTTAGCCAGGCCGGGTGGTGTTCGCGAACGCGATCGGATAAGCGCCTGGTCGTGCGGCCAATGTACCCAGTTTCACAGGAACAGGTGAATGAGTATACACAGAATGAGGCTACAGAATCTGGCACTCTGTGCAGCGTAAAATGTTCCGCTTAATGCACTTGTGAGCTTTATTTGAACGATTTCCGCCTCCGTATCTCCCTTAAACGGCAGATGCACATAGACAAATTTTTTTCACTGCTCTTATTTCCTTAGGCCGATCCTCGTGTTTTAGCATTGCCCTATCGATAAATTGTTTGAACCAAAGAGCGAATCAGCTTTCTCTTCCTCTGAGGAGGGCCAAAACTATGGAAATGGATATACTGTCCATTCCACACTACTTTCCTATGCACCGATAACTGGACGGCGCTATCGCTACGGTGTCTTATGAGTACGTCTAAAAGGCTAGACTTTTGTCCTTTTCTTTTTTTCAGAGTAAAGTTCACGTTAGGATGGGCATTATTGAATTCTTCAAGCAACCGAGTAGTATCCACGTTTGAATCTGTTATACATAGTATATCATCAACGTATCGTCTGTACAGAGTACATTGTCTGATGAGGCTCCAGGGAATCGTTCTGAAGTTTGGCCATAAAGGTGTCGGCGAATAGTGGTCCTAAAGGTGACCCCATTGCAATCCCATCCTTCTGTCTATATAATTCACCATTGAATTAAAACTGTACGTTATGCGTACATACGAATATGACAATTGTTTCAGCTCATCCAATGGAATTCCCACATCGTTGTTGTTCCTCTGAATAAATTCACATATGTGATTGATAGTTCCACTAATTGGCACATTTGTGAACAAAGATGTAACGTCAAACGACACCATCTGTTTGCCCTCAAGTTTGAGGCCCTTCAAAGCTTTTACAAGATGGAAGGTGTCTCGTAGACTGTGCTTGCAAATTGCGAGTCTCACTGGTTCCAGTAAGCTTGCCAACCACTTCGCAACGCCGTGATACGGGGAGTTGTACATATCTAGATTGGGTCTCATAAGGACACCTTCTTTGTGCACTTGGGCACACATGCACGCATGATTGGAGCCGAAGCTAAACCATTAAGACTCGAATCTCTCATTCCTTGTTTATTCTAATTGTTAGTCATATTTAGCGTTATGTAATGACATGATTACGAATAACTGAAAACGAGCTTGTTCGCCACGTTGTTGTTCTCAATGTGTTCCGTGGGACTAATGAAACTTTTAGAGTATTTGAACATAGTACTCTGAGTGGATAGCTTCAGACTGAAAGGGAAATCAGCTACAAAGTAAAATGCTTTAACATAAAACGATCGTATAATTACCAATTCATCTTCCATATGGTGCAAAACCACCACCAATTTAAACTCGAATTAATTGGAGCTGCGTGTGGAAAAATCTGTATCCTAATGCGAAAGGCTCTGTCGTCTTCTCCAACTCGCGGCATTTGGACGTGGATACAACATGGACCTTGTTTCCAGTGTGTGTATACCTTACTCGTTGCATAATGGTTTTGTGGCTTCGAAAGCAGGCCGGTGCATGCTTCCTGAGATCAATAATCCTCTGTAGTTAAAAACCACATAAAGCAAATGCTATCAGTAATGGGAAAATCACGCCCGCAGTGCTTAAATGCTCCAGCCAATGATGGATAGGGGGAATCATCCCATCGTATTTGATGTATTCGTACGTCTTCAATAAGTTGAATATGCTCTGGAAAACGTCTCAGTGACTAAACACTCTGTCTACGTCTGTAGGTTATGTCTGGAAAAATACTCATTAGGGCCAGATTGTTATATGGCGATGTAAAATGAATGACTACCGGGTTGCCGTTTTCAGGTTTGTCCCGACTACAGGTTTGTGCACAAACAGTTGTATATGTTTCTAGCTAGAATCCCCGGAGGACATAAGCGATAATCAAACACAGGGAAGGGATTTGTTCAAAGTGTAGTTTCGTCCCCTCATTGTAACAGAATTGTCTGAAAAGCTCATGATCACGAGTAATAAAAGCACATGCCGAGAGATGATTCTATCGTTTCTTCTACGTAATTCAATGAAACGCGGAATTTACCTGCAAAAATCAGGTTTTGATTCGCGCAGTACAACGTGAATCAAAACCTGGTGTTGTTTGACACCGCCTGAATCCAGGTCGAGGTGGAATCTGATGCAAGCTGTTATTATTCCCTGAAGGATCTTGTATGATTCGTTGAGCACAAAATGTGATATAAACTGATATCACCCATGTGACAAAGCAAATTGATATAAAATTACTGATTAGGGTGATTTCATGTTTTGAGCTTTGGAGTCTACGGACATTATCCTAAATTTTCCACTGCTTCTGTTATCTTCAGCTTCTGAAGGCTCTCCCGGTATTGGCAACACAAATAACAACGCTACTCGAGTTCGATGTGAGTTTGGAACTGCACGCACAGTTTTTCAGTGTTTCGATAATAGTTACTATTCAAAAATATTATTATTCAAAAGTTTTTTTACCATCACTCTTATCGATTGTATTCAGCCGGATTGAATTCATTGTTTTTTCATTGTTGAAATATATTTCGCGTTTCACTGCTCACATATTGTAAAGAGAAGGCGAGTCAGCTGGCAAAATATTTATTGATTCAGTTTAAAAACAACAGGTGTATTCGTTCAATTATATACGACCAGTTCATAACCGCGCGGCAGGATGATTCATACCTCGTCCTGTTGGTCAATACCTGTTGGCACCTCGGGTACGGCTTCGGGTCATTTAATAATACCTATTTCATTGGGAAAGTATGAGCTTTTCTGATTACGGTTGCGTTTGGACGCCCCTGGTTAAACATTATCTCAATGACGTGGAGGATTATTTGATGCTTAATCCGTATTGGGAAGTTTGCTTTACCATCAAAAATTCCTGAGCTGATGCAGACTCAGTGGACTTGACAGCTGACCAGATCGGCCGAAATAAGAAACGTTTCTTCGAAGTGGCTGCCAATTTCCGTGTTTAATGTTGCTGATTTTCCCGATTGTGTTGTTTTCTGGCTCCATTTTTCTGATTAGGTCTGCATTCACCACCCATCTGCTGCACCTTAATAAATGACCATTGCCGTTGATCAATGTGATCTATTTGTTGCAGCTTCTCTTGTAAATCTGTATTCGCTTTTCAGGCACATGAAAAGGATTTGAACAACTCCATCATCAATGCCGCATTCTTATTATTATACAAGGACCTGATTCGACTTTTTGCATCTTACAACGAAGGAATGATCAATCTGATTGGTAAGATCTGGATACAGAAGTCTATTGTTATGAGCCTAGTTTGACCGAAAGTTTGCTTCCACATGCCATCCTTCAAGTGTACGCTTAAAGGTTTTCGTTTTTTTCTTTAATTTTATTAATCTGCATTTGATGAACAATCTAAATTGACGTTCAATTTCAATGATTTATCTTACTCCGGAGAAAGAGTCTGTATGTGACACATTTGAATTGATTCACATTCATTAAACATGTATATGAGTATCACAATTGGAACAATACTAGGATTCCATCAAACTAAAAAGGAATATGAATAGGCAAGTCAGAAGACAATGCGAGAGAAATTCCTTTTGTATGCTCTCATCGGTCGTGTACGCATAACATTGAACAAGATAGCCAAATGAAGTGAAATGAGAAATCTATTTAGGTTTAATCGTGTGCGTGTGTGTGCGCGTGTACGTGAGTTTGTGTACTTTGTGTGTATATGTATGTGTATATGAGTAGAGTTTGGCGGTCCAAAATCCGACTATTTTCAGTGTGTGTGAATGGAAATTATCTAGATAAAAAAATGACATTGTTAGGTCAATAAAAATGAATGAGAATGGTTTCGCTTACGTTTATTGGTAATCTAAGAGTTGTATGAAGATTTCTAGAGAAGACAGCGGCTAGTAGTATAGGTTAGTAGAGACGGGCATCGGTGGCGGTTTGAAACACCCAATTGGTCTTTGTGAGGTGTATACTCTGTTTGAGTTTTAAGTTTTTAAGTCCATTGGATGGAACAGATCACCGATGCTTAGAGAAAGAACCTAATCGGTTGGTGTTGCAAAAGATAGAAGAAATACGTTTGGCTTATCGCCTTATTGATTGTAGAATGTAATGTACAATTTCACTAATCCTTATTACCTTTTTCTTAATCGGAAATCACCTTTTGCAAACGATGTAGTTTTTTAAGCGCCACTTCTTTGTTTTAAGATGCTTCCTTTTTTGGTATTGATTTTCCGGGGAAAGGGAAGGGGAAATGCGAGCGAGAGCTGAAGATTAACGAGAAAATACCTTCATACAATCATGATAATCGCCGAAGTTTTCTCAATTTCTATTTATTCTCATTAGAAAAATATTTCACATTGAAACTAAAGGAGTGTCGGCTGGGTATGGATCTTTATCACAACTTCCCTGGAATTTTGGACAAAATCACCGAGTTTCTGACTCTAGCTGAAGTAAGTCTTGCTACCCGGAAGGACTTTTGGCACTTTTAGACGTAATAAAATAAACTTCAGAGAAATTGAAATAATACTTTTGCTTAAATGAGATAAAATACCAATGATACTGGCTTCAATTCAATTCCCGAACTCGGCATGATTTATGTTTTTTGTTCAGCGTAAGTGTACACATTTGAGTAATAATTGATTTTACGTTGTACTCGTGATACTGAAGCGGCAAGTAGAAGGTCATTTTGATCTTAACGGACTGTTCATTTTCACTCATTATTGCCAAGTCCCGCGACTAACCACGGCAGGAACACTAGACTCTAATTTGCACATCACTGCTGTATATCCGTTACCTGGGAGTAACTGTGGGCTGAAACGTAAATAACAATCTTGCCCAACATATGTGATTGGAGACTGGTAGCCGAACCACGGATGGATGCGTTTGATTTCCGTTAGCTTATATATATAGTTGAGTAAAGAACAGAGGGCCTCCGGAACTACGTGTGAGACCCTTACTCAATCCGGAGAAACCTTCTGATGCATCAGATCACTCCATGCAGGTACCAAACTCCGTCCCGCCACCCGTGGTCCTCAGTACCAGAGCTCCTCTGCCAAAAAATAATGGTAGCCGATNATTGCGAAGGGATCGGTCGATATACCAATTCCTACCCAAGCGGATTTCTACATCGACAACATCGAAACTGTTTCTACTCCAATGCTCAAGGACTCCTGGGCAAATTTCCAGAATTGAATTTACGTTTTATATCTGGTCAGTGGGATATTATTGCTGTTACAGAGACTTGGCTCACAGCTGACATTTCGGAATCCGAATTGTCTTTATGAGAGATGTCTCTAGTCAGAAGTGGTCGTCCGTGGTTATGGTGTTTTACTCTACTACCGAAACAATCTTGATTGCGAGCAAATCTACCCTCCATTTTCGACACTTGACACTGTGTTTTAGATTGAAGTTTGTCCAAACACAATGATTGTTTGATTGGCGTAGTTTATCGTCTCCCATCAACATTGAAGACGGCCAATGAAACGCTTTTACTAACTGTGTCACACATTCTTACACAAAAATTTGCCCATGTTCTCCTAATGGGTGATTTCAACTGCCCCAATCTCAACAAATCAGCGACCGTCCGTCCGTTTTTCGAACATCAATTCAAACGGCTGATTGACTCGCATCCACTATATCACCATGTGAAGGTGGCCATCAGTTTTGGAAACCTACAGTCATCGTCCATACTGCATTTAGTGTTGACCAACATGGAGCTGATGGTAGAGCCTGTCAACGTGACTCCCCCCCCTCTAGGACGCAGCGATCACGCAGTACTTACATTCAAATATGTTTGTTACGCTTCGATTCAAGGAAGTTCCCCAGGTAAAACGCGCAGATCCATAGACTACACGTTGTTTTTGTTGTTGTTGAAGAACCTGGCGCTCTCTATTCCGTGAGTTTCCTATGACGAAGAATCCAATCCGTTGGTCGCCTGGCAGAAATTCATTGACAGTCTCACAAATCTAATGACATTAGTGACTCAGACTAGAGCAATCACCAAATCCGGCATCCAAAATTCACATATCCGAAGCCGCACAAGGAAATGGCTATCTATGAGGGATTTATCCTGGCGAGATTATAAACGTCTTCCGAATGTTGTCACGTGGAATGACTATCGTATGCTGACGAACCACTGCACCAGGCTGATTCGTGAGGATGAACTGAAATACCAAGAGGCGCTAGCACAGATATTCATTTCTAACCCTAGGATGTTGTACAAACACGTCAACTCCATTCGGGGAGTAAAGTTTGGTATACCGGCACTAAGTAGCGCTGGAAGAGTGGCAGCCACTCCAACGGGAGCAGCTGAAATGCTAAAAACTCATTCTTCTAATGTTTTCGCAGCAGCGCAGATTGTAGGTTTACAACTACCTCCCCGGATGAATCATCTTCCACATCCTTCACTGGTCTACGTATCACTTACTGCTGAAAACGTGAAAGCAAAACTAATGGCTTTGCGAAAAAACGCAACCCCAAGTGCGGACAACATACACCCGAAATATCTGATCTTTTGGCGAATCACATATCCGAACCACTAGCCATTCTGTTTCAACGAATGTTCGACCACGCAACACTCCCAAAATCGTAGAAACAAAGAGTGATTTCGCCCATATACAAAGGTGATTGTCGTAGTGACCCCGCTAACTACTGACCTATAATCCTTCAGGTGTTATCGAAACTAATGGAATCAATTGTGGCAGATTCTCTGATGGAACACTTCGAAAGGTACAACATTCTTTCGACAGCTCAATACGGGTTTGGACAAAAGCGATCTTGCTCCACCAACCTGCTTCTTGTTCGAGATGAATAGACCAGAACAGTCGACGAAGAGGATGCGGTTTAATTGGACTAAGGGATTCCTCGAACAATGGACCATATCAGTTCGTGTTCCTGATTCCACATCCAGATCTATCAAAGCCACCCGCGGTGTTCCATAAGGGTCCGTACTCTGTCCCCGTTAGTTCCTCGCATTCACAAATGATCTACCGAAAATGTTAATCCCCCAAAAAATACTGTTTGCAGACGACGCCAAAATCTGGAACACAGTAACAGAACCCGAGAGCTCTCTAACTCTTCAGGAATCACGCAACGCAGCTTATCAATGGTCTAAGGAGAACCACATTGAATTTAATGTTTCTAAATGCAAAGTCCTATCCCTACGCCACAAGAGAAAATTCTCGTATTTCCTCGGGGATCAGCAGCTACCACACACTTTAAGTGAAAAGGACTTAGGCATTGTTGTTCAAGAGGATTGAAGCTGATCCATCAATTGCGCCAAGGCTTCCTCCGCTGCTGTGAATAATGTTGGTTTACTTCGACGAGTCTTTGGCTGGTTTGAACCATAACTATTCCCACGTTTGCTATCAGTGTACATTCGACCCTACACAGAGTACGCTATCCAAGCTTGGATTCCATGGTTTGAACATGATCGCAAGATGCTTGAGCGTTCACAAAGGTTGGCCACCAAGATGGTCAAGGGATTACATTGCTTGACATATGAGGAGAGATTACGATCATTGGAACTATATTCTGCTCAGTACCGCCGAATTCGAGGAGACTAGATTTTGAAGTATCAAATACTGGAGAACCCAAACCATCCATGTCGATCGCTGCTCATGTCATCGAACAATGTACACCTAAGGAAACACCGTTTCGAGCTACTGATTCCAAATTGTCGACTGGAATGCCGGCGCCAATCTTTTGCAGTCAGAGTATGCAGTTCTCGGAACGCCCTTTCATCTCACGTCGTTTGTGCACCCACTAATGAATCTTTCAAACAGAGACTCGGTGAAACAAGTCACGTCACATTCGTACACCACTAAAACGAAACGCAAATTAACTGAAGATCACGTTCTCTATCATCTCCCCGGAACTCTATGTGACTTCTTTTTCGGCATGTAACGATTCATCTGTGTAAATATCCTGTGGGGACAATGTAAGCTCCAGCTTGTAAGTTATTCCCATAATAAAGTTGTGACTTTGACTTTGAGGTCATTACAAGAACTCATTTTGGGTGCTACATTATCTGGTTTAATACAGCACAATTTATAATCAAATAAACAGTTATTCAGAGGAACCACATATTTGCGAAGAAAATCCGAGTTTAGAAAGGGATGAGGTATTTATCATACTTTGTATTTCTGTATGTATGTATGTGTGGAAAGTGGAGGAGTGAGGGTGGTTATGAAAGGGTGAAGGCGGAAAGGAGAGAGAGTCCATCAACGAAGGTACATCACCAGATTGTAAGCTGATGGCCATGGTTAAGACCCATGTTCTTACAGGCTGCCTCCGGGTACACATTTTAATGTGAGTGAGACATCAGCAGTACGATAGGATTGCACTTTCGATTGGAACAGGTCAAATGGCCCTCCTCCTGGGTTGGACCGATCGGTTTTAACTTAAATGGACTTAATAAGTGTTCTGCCACATGTTCAAACACATCTGAAAGCAAACTTAACGTGTGCCTATTGGGAAATAAAAATCGGTTGAAGGCTAACAAATACGAGGTCAGTATATTTACTGTTGCACTATTAATGGACAAGGCCCAAATTAATGTGGAAAGCAGTTTATTGTCACGTTGTGTTTGATGATTTACAGAAGAGTGTCACGTCGTGCACATTTTTCGAAATTCATGCTACATGCTTACTTTTAGATGTGCTTTTTACGACAAATATGCTCAGTGATACACAACTAGGTTCACTCATCCCGCAGTTTTAAGTAGTATGTAAGAATTTACGCAAACACTTGTTTGGTTTCCCGATTGGTGATTGTCCAGCGGATTAGTTCGCTGTCACTGGTGTACCCCGGGCCCTAACATCCGAGGTTCGCAAGCTGCCTTCGGCATCCAACTCTGGTGGTAGGCAGCAGTTTGAGTGCTAGTGTAGCTATGCTCAGTATGCGTTTTGTACCTTCAAAGTGCAAAATCCTGCTACAATATAGGGTTGGTCCAGTCCCCAGCCTCAGTTCAACCGGGCAGCTGTATCTCACATGGCGGGTATCGTGAATAACGTGTCGGCTCGTATACAGAAGGTTCGATCAGCATTTTCCAATTTAGGACATCTCTAGTGCCATCGCGACATCCGGTTGTCTGGGCAGCGTCGAGTGTATGCTACAACAGTTCCGCTAGTGCTGCTATGCGGCGCTCAAAGCTGGTCAATACGGGAACAAAATTAACATACATCGTCGGTATTCAAACACCGCTGGCTACGCCGCATTGCAGGAGTCTGGTGGGGAAACCGGAGGAGAAATGCTGGAGTTAGAGGCAAAGTTTTGGGTTACCGCGGTCGCTCGTTGGAGAAAGTGGTCGACTGCCATAGATACCGTTATTTGGGGCATGGGTTACGCATACCGTCATGAATAACTTGGTTGAGGTCACCAAATGGGTTACCATGGCGAGCGATGTTCGCCGAGGCAGGCAGTGGGGGGGGACGGGAAACCAAGGGTGGTCAAGCTAAGATCTGGTATGAGGGTATGAAAACCCTAACCAGTGCACCGGGTCACATTGGTCCGTTTAGGCTCCCTGGTTAGGGACCTCGGGATGATCGTCACCTATGGTTAGAGGAACTTAGTGATATGGCTGCGTGTCGTAAGCAGCGGCGTTCACGCATGTTCTCAGTTTCTTTGCAACATTAGTCCACTGAAATTCTCTGTTTTCTCTTCGGTCCTACTTTAACCTTCCTGTTTTCCTCCTACTGTTCATCCAAATCGGTATGGAAAAGACAGCAAGCAAAAGCGACGCACGAAAGTACCTGCTTAATGGTTATTCAATCTGAAACTGAAACCGGCCCAATACTAACCCAGCATCATAACTTTATATATTTCGATACTCCAAGCCTTAGGGATTCTGTTGTCGTGCTCCTTAACTGGTCTGTAAGTTCTTCAAACTAGGTAGTTCATCACCTATGCTCTTTATCCCCCAGTAATATTTAGCACCAAAGCAATTGATATATTGATTCCTCAAACTTTGTTTTCTTTTAAAATTATTTTCAGGTCATTGCTTCACTCAGTATGCATTCATCAAATCATTCAGTTATTGAAAGATGCAGTCTTCCTTTTAGAGTATCAAGTTTGGCTTAGCCCATTCGATTGTTCGGAGGCACCAGGCACTCTTGATGGTCTTGGGTGTGGGTTTCACTCTTTCAGATGTTGACCTTCGACCGTTTAGCTCAGGAGTAAGGGTTTGAATTCCCGATCCGACTGTTTAACGTTCGAGTCCTGACAGGGACACATAATGTGCGGACTGCTGACGAATCCCAAACAGGACGAAGCAACTGTCCAGTGCTCTTTGTCGGTTGTCACAAGCATTTCCGTCGCGTTTGAATGCAATCTTCCATTCGTGCAATAATAGTTTACTTTTTTAGTTAGTATATCAATGTTGCTTTGTTCTTCCTCTGTAAAATGTGCATAAGCTTTTGGAAAACAGTCCAGGCTCAACTTTTAATTTCAAGGAATTACTCCCGTTGAACTTACACGAATGTGAACGGAACAGTAGCGTTTGATAACCTTTGTTCTCTAATTACAGGGTCTCGGAATCGGGGATAAAGATAGTTTGGGGTTGCAACCGGTGAGTCTTATTGATCGTACCAGAATATGTTATCTCTCCTCGTCACTATGCGACCGTAATAAAATTTATCCGTGAGTTTTGAGCTGGTTCAATTAAGAAAGAGACTGAAGCATTAGTACCAGTATAATGTTCGTTTCCTAAAACCAACCTCATCCGACCAATCATTCCGCGGAGGGTTTTGACTCTTGAGAAGGACGTTTAAAGCATGGAAACAAATTGCGAGCATCATCCAATCTTCGCATGGTTCTTGTGAGATTATGATAAATATCGTGAATGGAATAAAACAACACATGAACCTTCAGTAGAAATTCGCTTCGGCACACATTGTTGGGCGTTTCTCAAGTTGCTTCTGTTTCGAGTATACATTTCACGCACAAATCGACAGTGCGTTTGTTGTACCGCTTGAATCACTGTCCTTATCGGGACCGTTTCACACTCAACAAACTCATCATCGTTGTCGTCATTTTTCAGATTGACCTCTGTCAGCATTTTCTACACATTCCAATGTCTCGGTCATTTCCCCGACGTGTTTGACGATGAAAGCGCTCACTTAACGTTGCTTAATTGTATGCAGAGGTGGACCAAATAATAATTAAAAAATGGAGGAGGAATTGATAACCAGTTTGATTCTATTTGTGAACCACGTGTGTTAGCTTTTCGAACTCTATTGTTATAGTTAAACTGTTAACAGTTCCAGGTCCATTTGCTTTCCAGTCACTGAGGATTCAGCAGCACTACATAAACAGCAGATTTCCGAATACCACCGCATGAATCATTTTGCTAAATCAAAAGTCGTGTTGAAATGGTTCTAAAATACAACGATCGGCATCATCAAAGTTAAAGTTGTTTTTCGAATCATAGTCTTTGCACTAAACAATGACGTGTTTCAACCTGTTTGGTAGCTGTTCATCCCAAACTTCTGCGGACTCAACGTTCAACATTTGTCATCTGTCACACCAGTTTGGTCTGCAAACTGTCTTTTTGATAGGGGAAAGAGTGGCGTTTTTTGTCGATTTGTAGTTCGTGCTTGCTTCAAGAGTGCGTTCGGTTTTCGTTTGCAGGCATAATACACCTCGATAACTTATCGAATGTTGTTGTTTACTACGGTCAGAGAAGCGTAATTGAACCTCGCCATGGATCTTTGTCAGGGGAAGCCTAACCTTCCTCTGATAATTCTGGCGCTACTAATTTGAAATGGATTGGAATCAGTCTCAACCGCGGGAAAGTGTCGGGGTTTTCTCGAGAGTACTGAATGCATTGTCATCGGGGCAACGGACAGAGATCGGCAACCTGGCTTGTGCATTCTCTCCACCCTCAACCCACGCTTGGCTTGCAATATGAATAATGCTTACCTTGCTTACCACTGTATTTCAACTGGGATTCCTTAATTTCATCGTTAGTACTTTTCGAATGATAAATCAGTTTAGGTGTCCCTGTCTGCTCATCTAGGTTGCTGCTGACGTCATTTATTTTTAATAAATAATAAATAATAAACAAGTTCATCAAGATGAGGACCCAGCTATTTGCTCTAGTATTCTGCTCTGACTTTCTTCACCTTGCATTCACTTCAGGGTATTGTTCTATAGAAAGAATATAAGAGGTATTTTTGCATCTGGCTCATTCTCCCCTAGTAACCAAATGTAACGAGGTAGAATATTCTGAACGTTTTCGGACTACAGATAATGAGAACCACGAGACTGGAAAGTGTTTGAATATTTTCTAATATGAGGTCGAAAAAATAAAACGTTGAAGGATTTTGTTATGAATCGATAGCATCAGTGGTCTTACTATATGTTTTGCCTAACATGTCAACCTCCCTAAAGATCAATAAGGAAGGCAAGTCCGCAAGACTAACATTGCTCCCACTGGCCGAACCAGATCAAATCGAGAAATACTGCATTACTCTGGGCGGACGTTCTGTTTGAACTCCTCATCGAATGAGGGTGTGACGTGAAAGAAAAAGAAGCGTCAAAATCAGCTCCAATAGATCTGGCTTACCGGCAATGATCGTGGTGAACGATTTGTTTGAATTCTGTATGAGGGTGTGCCTGTGAAATACCTGTACCTGTGAAATAAGCACCTCGACTTGCTTAGTTCCACAGCATATTGATCTCAAACAAAATGCAAGTATTTGTCGTTTTCAGCTCACCCAATTTGTTGTTGTTCTGATTTTGTAGGTCCCGGAAAAAGTGATACATGCCATGGAGCAGCATTTGGCGATATTAGAGAGCAAAAAGGGGTGAGTTTAGTGTCTCCAAATAATACACAAGATGTTTTATTTTGTCCATTGTACATTCAATAGAATTCTAACCAATTATTCAAGAAAACTGTTTTTTTCAGTTACGTTCTCAATAATTTATGGCGTTTGTCATAGAGATTCTGGTATATATTGGTCACTTAATAGTCTTATGGTTCAGATGATGTTTGAGGATGATAAACTGACTTGTATCCCGGTAATTGTGAATAAAAATCCTCAGAGTTTCTTTGCAAACCAACAGTGCTTCCATAAATTATTTGGACAAATCACTGATACATAATGTCTATTCAGTCTCCGAAAGCGTTTCGAGTGGCCGAGTAACGATAGTGATCCTCAGGACTATTCGGAAAAAGACACGGAAACAGAAAACAAGTTTCACTGCGATAAATCAAAAAANTTTTTTGTTGGTTTAATTTTTCCTGAAAGACACTTATGAGGTCTACCATATTACATCTTAATTGTATCACTTCTTGGGTTTTTAAAACCATCGGCGCTAAACGCTTTAGTCATCCCATTGATTGTATTTCGAAACGCGTCGTTTTGAAATACTGCAGGATATCACCACAATGTGGAGTCCTTTCTCTGCCAGTCTTTTCCCTGAATTAGTCTTGTTTCATTTTTAATGACGGAAAATACAAAAAAACTTTCCCGTTACAATGACTTCATTGTGTGGCACGCAACTCCGTGAAATTGAACTGCAGAGTGCTGCCAGTGCGTTACATCTATCGGGAACGGGCACACAAGCAGTTTGATTGCACCATTTTGAGTGTTTTAGTCCACACTGTGCAATACTTTCTGTCAGTTTGAGTTATCTGTAAACAAGGTATCCAACAGAAATATTTAATACGCGGAGGCCAGTGAAGTCATTGGAGCAATTTGATACCGAAACGGTTGCATTATAAACTAAATTTGTGCATTCAACGGAAGGAAATAAAATGATGATTTTTATTTTATTTGATACAATTTGGAAGTACGATCAATCTTCAAGTTGCTGTAGTTGATTGAAGGCAGCCCAACAATAAACAGGAGAGTAGAAGGACGTTAGCGACGGGATTTTAACTGGCAAACTGCGAGATAGTTTAACTGTCTATCAATAACGCTTGACCTCTGCTATCCCGAATACATGGTTGTAATAATACTATGTCCACTACAGTGTTACGTCAAGACTAGCATTTGAAAATTCTGATCAGGATATCTGCCCAGATCGGTGTCGTTAGGCTTTCTGGATGGCGATGCTGGGAGCAACGTAACTGATGGTTAGAAACTCTAAGTGATATGGATGTATAGCAAATAGTGACCCTCGTACATGTCGATCTCTTTGCAGCCGTAGCCTAGCAGAATTATGCATTTCCAAATTGACACGATTTTCGGAGTTCCAGTCTTCTGTTCAGTCTTCCATCTCAATTTGGAGCCAGAATACAGCAACTAAAATGGACTTTATAACCAATTTGTTTCAGCATCTATTGAATCTTAATCCAACTACCTCAAATCATCATAGTCGTCGATTGTTCTATGTATCTTCATCGAACTATGGAGTGACTGCTGAGACGCTTCTTTTGAAACTATCCAGGATTAGGGGACTGTCAAACATGAACCCAATTATCATTACTGCAAGGGTCTGGAAAACACTGAGTGCCGAAAGCACTGGATTGCTTTTGTTATAGAGGTGCTGTTTCTCTCTTGCCTAATGTACTTTACACGTGACTTGAGCAAAATAGAATAAATTATTTCGTTTTCACCACACTGTTAGCTTATGAACAATGAAGGGGTGAATACAATAGTCACGAAGAACTCTTCAATGATGAAGACCGGTAGACTGACCCGGTACTTGGAGTGGCAACCCACCTAGGGCGCAACTGCAATGGGCGTGACATCAAGCTGAATGACAAAAGATTTGTCGAAATAGTCCCATAGAGTACATATCAAACAAAACTACAGAGTGGCGAACAAGCTCGTTTTCAGATATTTGTATTGATGCCAATGCATCTCAATATACATCAAAACTTGGGAATAAAATTGTCTTGGGAAAATAAAATAAAATAAAATCGCAGATTACTGGAAACGATTTCATCGTGAGACCGGAAATCGGGTTCACCTTGATCACGTTTGTTTGTCCACTTATCCCATCATCGAGATTACCCATGATGCGGTGTGTGTGTGGGGGGGGGGAAAGGCCGGGGAGGCTTCAGCCCAAAAACAATTTGTACAAGCGCTAAAGCGTCCTTGGTCCACTCACCCCCTCCACACACACCGCATCATGAGTAATCTCGATGATCGGATGAGTGGACAAACAAACGTGATCAAGTTGAACCCAATTTCCGGTCTCACGATGAAATCGTTTCTAGTAATCTGTGATTTCATTTTATTTTATTTTCCCAAGAAAATTTTATTCCCATGTAGTGATATATATTGAGATATATTGAAAAGGGAGTTATCTACCACCAGTGTTGGCGGCGTTCGAACCTTAACCCTTAGGGTTCAAATCACATAAATGAGGGCAAACTAAGCTACCTGGTCACCATTATCGCGGGTTTCATAACCAGTTGCACTTTACGTCTGCCAGTTATATTTTTTATATTACACACCTTTTAATGTGATGAACAGCAGACGGGGTAAATACCATAGTCACGAGGACCTGCTATTTAGTGATGGAAACCGGTAACCTAAGCCTCCGGACTTTGATTGGCGAATCAAATTAGGCTCCGATGGGTTAGGTGTGGTATTGAACCGGATGACTGCGTACCACCAAAGTTGGGTGGCGGTGTCGGGGATGGAAACCTCGAACCATAGGGTCCAAAGAACACCGGAGACAGCGACTAAACCACTGCTCTAACAGCACTGCCTTGAGGTCAGTAAATGTGGATTTGCAGCGGTTGTACTCTTTGCTCGATTAAGTGTTTCATTGTTCGTCATCACCAAACGGCATCATCCGAATAATAGGTGCGAAGGTTTTTCAATGACCCAAAGTTCCTCAATGGGATTGTTTTTTGCCCACTACAACCGAATCTAAAGAAGTGGTTCACATTCCAGCTGCTTAGTCTGTAGTTTATGGCTCAACAATCTCACTTTTCAGCTGGTGCAACACGCTGGAAAGTTGGCATAGGTTGTCATTGTCATAATAAACGGACATTTGACTGCAGCTGAGTGTGGCATTTTGAATTTGATGCATAAAACATGACGAATTTCAGATTGAAAGCAGTACATTCCTGGATCAGCTAATAGACAATGAGTGGGTTTTTGTATGCTTCAGGACTATCATTTTTATCCCTATTATTTTTTTAAATTTTATTTTCACACACGTCTGAATCCAGACAGTGTGCGAAACAAATCATGGTACAATAATCTTTATGAAAAAAGAAAAACGTTCCACGATTTGCAAGTGAGCCGAATACTGCCAGGTTGCCCAGGCCAAGGCAGATGAATTTTCTTGAGGAATCCACAACCGGAGCCTTTCGTTAGCCAAAGCCTGACCCGCAAGGCAGCGGGGCGGTGTACGAAAACCGCAGTCCATTGGGAGCCGATGTCCAGTTCACTGGGTGATACACCTTTCGGACGGGGATAAACGTCCAAGGTGCCCAATACACCTCAAGGTGCAGGGTAAGGATGACTATCCGCAACCCTAGACACCCACCCCGACGAGGCTTTTGGAGGCATCCATATTATTTAGCTTACAGTCGCCCTGTGGTTTAATCGATTAAGGTGCTTTTTGTCGTTCTACCGATTATACCGTTCAGCACGCAATGAATAAATAATAAAAACAATTGTATAGTTCAGCAAGACTAGGGTTCTTGTGCAAATGTCTATTTACACAACTCACACAGATTATGACCTATACGCAGTAGGTCGCTTCGTGTAACTTTAATAACGCTTTTCATTATTAATTTTTTGTCTGTTTGTGTTTCGAAACAAATGCAGAACAGTGCATTAGCGGTGTGCAACATTTGGTATAACTTTATTTGGACAATACTAAAGTTGCTACAACTCTTAAAGATCTGTTCACCTATTTTGTCGAGAACGTTCGTCCAGTTTCCGATAATTGATGTAATCTGGATCTTTCGCTTTTCGACAACCTAAAACGCTGCAATAACATATCTGGCTAGTGTAGCAGAAGAAAGAATGAACAGAAACGTCGATCAAATCACATATATGATACGCATATGGACAATAACTAACAGGTGCAAAAATAGTGAACCTTTATGGCTAGATTGTACTCCCCTTCTTCAACGTTTAACCGAGACGTTCTGTTTCGTATCATGGAACTATTTGACTCCACGCTCGTAGCTCAGATGTTTTCAGTTTTACGTACTCGTCATTAGCTCAGTTGATGGAGAATGAGCCATACAAATGCATAGTTGGTTTGGTGGATTAGATTTGAATTTCATCAGGAGTTCTGGTCTTCTCATCTTAGAGATAATAACAATAATAATCCTGAAATAAATCAATCAATTTTAATAATTTATCAAGGAAAGTGTAAAGAAGGAAAGTGTTTACAAGCAAGAACAAGCTAAGGTTCTTTCCTCTTATTTTATTGCATATATACAATGGTAAAATCACTTTTCTCGAAGGGGGCTGCCATGAAATAAATGGAGAATGGGGAAAGTTGGACGGTGGAGGCGGTGATTCGGACACGTCCTCCGGGGCGATAAGTAGCTACAATTAACCGCTTGATCACTGCCGCCCGTATCGCCGGTCGAGAAGATGGATAGTCAGGTTAAATTTTATGTTTTGTTGTTATTTTTGTTCCTCCACTGAATAATTCTATTTCCTCAGTCTCTTATGACTAAACGTGATCGGAAAGCTCATTGCGTACACTCGACCGGATTTTCATTCAGGAACGTTCCATACGCATGGTCAGTTGTAGGGATGCACGAGATTTTCCGGATTCGACATAGTTATAGGGTACAAACAGTAGAAAAATATTGAATGGTTCGAGCACTTCACTTCTGTTTTGTTAACGAAAGCTTGTCAATAACTGAGTTTAGAATGCTGAAAGGTGAAGTAGCTTAATCGAAAGATAAGATTCACTTGTGGGATGTTTCCATGTCTTTACGTGCATCGATGATGTGATCATCGTGTGTCCAAAAGCATATCGAGACTAGTTCAGTGTGTGACACCCATTCAGTTACTCTTCATACTTGACATTGATGTGTTATGTCAATTCGCTACAGTGATTTAACTAACGTGCTTATCAACTTTCTTCTTATTGACTTGTGTTCATATTCGTGCACTATTTTCCTCACTTAATATTTCTCGCAACGCCTCAGATGAGGGCGTCACAAATAACGTTGAATTCAGCCTAAACTTGGTTTCTCACCATCCACCACACAGCTCTGACAACGAAGACGACAGTGGTGTCGACCATCGAACACCATCGAGACCTGCTCCCCCAAAGAAACCCAATGTCCCCGTTCCTCTGCCACCCACAAAGCCTGATGAACTCCGGTCCCAAGTTACAGACCAACTGGCTGATCTTGTAGCACCTGAGTCCGAGGACGCATCACATACTGGCACTGATGCCCAAATTGCTCGGGGCGCGGCGACGATAAATGCGGAAGAAGCACATGATGCTGAGGGAGCGGATCAACATGCTGCCTGTCCAACTGTAGTCGTGAATGACGAAGGTAAGCACTCCAATAGCTGGTTATTGAAAGTAATATTTTTGGTATAGGGGTTATGAATACCCGCGCGTGAAATATTAAGTACTTCCATCCCTGAACTGTCTTACAGTCTTCAGTATTGAGGGCACAGGGCAGGGTGCCCGTGTAAGCCCCATCCTCACCGGGTCGAAGGTCCGATCACAAGTGTTCGTTCCTCCATAGCCCCTTCAGGTGCTCATCCAGACGCCGTTTGAAAGCAGCGTCTGTCTTCTCCACCATGGTCGCTGGAAGGGAATCCCAGAGTGTTGTTGACCTCCGCGAGAGTCGGTAGACTAATGGATGACTAACTAACTGAAGCTCCCGCAACGTGAGAGTGTGCCCAGAAGTGCGGTCTTCTGTCCGTAAAGGGAAATACTGCTGCAACTCCGGGCCCATATCACCTCTAAGGATCTTCCTCAGACAGATGAGATCTCCCCTGAGGCGCCGATACGTAACTGAGAACAGACCAGTAGCTTGTAGACAACCTTCATAGCTGGTCCCGCGTAGTCCAACAACGAGTCTAGTTGTACACACTCCAACTTATCCAGCTTACCGGTCGTGCAGGGGTATGTCGCCGCACCATCATACTCAGGTATTGGTCTGACATGGGAAGCGTACAGCAGCCTGAAAGCGTCCATCTTGAGCTGATTGAAAGACCGCAGAATAGGCCCTAGAGTGCTATACGCGCTGGCACAAACCCGATCAATGTTTTCTCGGGTCTTTAGTAATGACATAAACGTAACTCCCAGGTCTCTTTCGCACGATCATCTGCGCAATATGGTTCCCTGGAAGCTGTAAACTACCTCTGAGTCAGCACGCCACAAGTGCAGGTGAGCACACTTTGCGGTGTTGACTGGAAGAGGCCAAGTATCCGCCCATTTAGCCAGGTTGTTCAAATCCGCTTGAAGGGCGCTTCGATCATTCAGATCCTTGATTGTACGTCAGATTTTGATGACATCCGCATACATGAGGGATGGGCTGCACAGTTGACCGGGCAGGTCGTTCACATATACCACAAAGAGCAGTG